GAAATCTGCTAGTGTGTTTTCAACTGAGGAACTGGAGAACGACCTAGATTTGTTGTGTTTACGCTTCAAGAGGTAATCCTAAAATCTCCATACGTGCTAGTTGTTTAGATTACACGTGAATAAGATTCTGTTATTGCTTCCGCTGTGGTATATATTCCATCAATTGGTATCAGAGCTTACTCACGTCTAATTAAATAATTAGGATAAACCATAAGGATTAATATCATGTTCTATATGCAAGTTTTGAATTACATGCAAAGTTTGTTTTTCTGAAAACCTGCACTGTTTTTTTGGTGTGATTATCTGTTATGGGTTGTGTTGATTATTCTGAAAACTTGATGTATCCTTTTAATATTGGTGATGTTGAGTTAGAATAATCTGAAAACTGAATTTTATCATGTAAAACGGAAAAACACGTTTTGCTGAATTAGGGCAGAAAATCGGAGGTCAAAAAGTTGACGGACTCCGATTGACCTGAAACTTGGCAGGTCCATGCGAAACGGCCCAGTGAGCAATACTCATGGATTTTATGCATGACTGAAGTCGTTTTTTGGGCGTTCGGGGTCGTTTAGATGGTGTTTTTGCTGTTTTTCTAAAATTCTGAAATTTTTTTAGTTGTTTTTAATTCCAGAAATTTGGGGATCAATTCCCTTGGTCCCCGGGCTTAAAAAATCAGTGATATAATGTTTTTACACGTTGACGTAGGTCTTCTTCCATATCGGATAAAAATATTATGAATAATCACTATGTTATACTAGTCATTGATTATTTGTATTTACTCTCCATCTGAGTATGCATGTTGGTTCAACTCCATAGCACTGAGGGGAAACATAAATAGGCTGAAGGAAGCAGAGCTTATATGAAATGTTGTAATGTTGCCAAGACAAAGAGTGATTACTTGGCTGGCATATCAAGACAAACTAATGACTAAAGAAAGACTAATGAAGTCAAACATTCCTATAAATGGGGACATAAATTGCATACTGTGTGATTGTGGAGTAACTGAGACTCACCAACATCTATTTGTGGATTGTATCTGGACCCAGAATATAAGAGTGACACTGCTTAATTGGTCAGGAATAACCATCCCGTCCTATACTGTTAGCAGGAGTTGCAGTGGATCAAGAATAGGCACTGAAAGCAATTCAGGAAAGAAGTAACATTAACAATCATTGGGGCGATAATATACTACACTTGGCAAGCTCAAAATTGGAAGCATTTAAGGAAGATCAATGTAAATAATGCATTTATAGAGATACAAATTAAGAAGGAACTTAGGGAGAGGATTAGTATGTTAGTAGGATCTAGAAGAGCTAGAAATTTTCCAATTTTGATACAGAAGATATGTAGCTAGAGTATTTAAAACCGATAACAATTAGAGTTCCTTGTTATTGTTTGTTTTTTGAGAACTAGAGAGATTCTGATCCTACTGGATTGGAACAACTGGCTACTCTGAGTTTGTAAATTGTTTAGTTTGTTATGGTAATATTCATAGATTATTGCAAAAAAAAAAAATTAAGAATGGAGAAATCTCATTAACATCCTACAACACTCTCCTATTGGAAGAGTATATTACTAATAGATTATACTCCCCCTTCTACCAATACTAATGTATATGACTCATTTTCATTTTAAAGCAACATACAGTATTTGACATTATTCTACTCGTAATATTTAATTCTTTTTGTCCTCGTTTAAAGGTCTAGAAACACCCATTAAAAAGATTATTTAACAGCATTAATCATAAAAGTTATTTGACTAAATTACCTTTTATCTCTTCAAAATGAGTAATAAGCATTGGAAATTTTTAGAAAATTGTATAAATCATTTATTGGAGTAGATTTGATAGAAAAAAACCCCACTTAATTCCTCGGTTTTCTAAAGCGACACTTATTTTGAAACAATATTTTTAGGGCTAAAATGACATTTGAAGATTATTATTTGATTAACTTTCACTACAAAACTTTTGCCTATTATCTTAATATAATAATATATACCCCCCTCCCCTCCCCCCACCCATTGCTAATACTGTAGTTTAAAGTGGAATATAGCTTCTGTTGGCAAGTTACTATGGTAGGTGGCAACTAAAAAGGATGTACTATGGGTGAAATGAGTCAATGAAGTCTATATGAAGTCTAATCACAATATCTGGGATCACCAACCCCCACAGGATTGTAGCTGGTATTGGAAAAAACTAAATGCTCTGAATGAGATCATGGCAAAATGGTATACTAGAGGAGTTTACCAACTGACCACTAGTGGTTTGTATTCAGTGTCTAGCAACTCCATAGCACTGAGGGAAAACATAAATAGGCTAAGGGAAGCAAAGCTTAAATGAAATGTTGTAATGTTGCCAAGACAAAGAGTGACTACTTGGCTGGCATATCAAGACAAACTAATGACTAAAGAAAGACTGATGAAGTCAAACATTCCTATAAATGGGGACATAAATTGCATACTGTGTGATTGTGGAGTACCTGAGACTCACCAACATCTATTTGTGGAATGTATCTGGACCCAGAATATAAGAGTGACATTGCTTAATTGGTCAGGAATAACTATCCCGTCCTATACTGTTAGCAGGAGTTGCAGTGGATCAAGAATAAGCACTGAAAGCAATTCAGGAAAGAAGTAACATCAACAATCATTGGGGCGATAATATACTACACTTGGCAAGCTCAGAATTGGAAGCATTTAAGGAAGATCAATGTAAATAATGCATTTATAGAGATACAAATTAAGAAGGAACTTATGGAGAGGATTAGTATGTTAGTAGGACCTAGAAGAGTTAGAAATTTCCCAATTTTGATACAGAGGATATGTAGCTAGAGTATTTAAAACTGATAACAATTAGAGTTCCTTGTTATTGTTTGTTTTTTGAGAACTAGAGAGATTCTGATCCTAGTGGATTGGAACAACTGGCTGCTCTGAGTTTGTAAATCGTTTAGTTTGTTATGGTAATATTCATAGATTATTGCAAAAAAAAATTAAGAATGGAGAAATCTCATTAACATCCTACCACACTCTTGTATTGGAAGAGTATATTACTAATAGATTATACTCCCCCTTCTACCAATACTAATATATATGACTCATTTTCATTTTAAAGCAACATACAGTGTTTGACATCATTCTACTAGTAATATTTAATTCCTCCTGTCCTCATTTAAAGGTTTAGAAACACCCATTAAAAAGATTATTTAACAACATTAATCATAAAAGTTAGTTGACTAAATTACCTTTTATCTCTCTTCAAAATGTGTAATAAGCGTTGGGAATTTTTAGAAAATTGTATAAATCATTTATTGGAGTAGATTTGATAGAAAAAAAACCCACTTAATTCCTCGGTTTTCTAAAGCGACACTTATTTTGAAACAATATTTTTAGGGCTAAAATGACATTTGAAGAGTATTATTTGATTAACTTTCACTATAAAACTTTTGCCTATTATCTTAATATAATAATATATACCCCCTCTCCTCCCCCCACCCATTGCTAATACTGTAGTTTAAGGTGGGATAGAGGGACCTAAAATTTGTTTCTCAAACAAAAAGGTTCAAGCTATGGCAGAAGCTCCTATGCCTTATACTCCTTCATCACCTTCTTCTCCAAAACAATCAAACTTACCCACTTTCTTCATTGTCGGAATAGCAGCTGTCTTACTTGGCCTCTACAATCTCCTTATCGTTCGATGGTGCAACGAAAATAACCACACGAATGATCAGTCTACTGAACAAATATCTAGCCATGTTTCTCTAGATAACCTTAATGTGAACTTAATGTCCAGTTTCAGGTACAAGAAAGAAGGAGTTGAAGTTGGAGGAAATGATCATGAGAAGAATAATGATGATATTGAGTGTTCTGTGTGTTTATCAGATTTTAAAGAAGGGGAAGATGTAAAGCAACTTCCAAGATGCAACCACTCTTTTCATGCTTCTTGTATTGATGTGGCTTTATTCTCACTTGGATTGCCCTATGTGTCGTTCTCCGGTGGAGCTGCCGGTGCTTCACCGGAGTAGTTTCACACGACAAGAGGAGAATTTTAGAGAAGGAATTGTAGTTCAAGGCAATTCAGTTTAGTGTTTCTGATTAGTTTTTTGTTTATAGGAAAACTAAGTTTTTGCATGAAGAGTTCCGTTGATCCCAGATGGGGTGGGGTAATTGCAAGGCTTGAAATCCTACGGAAAATATTAAAAACTATTTCATGGAAAATTTACTACCTTCTATCAACATAGGATTGCAAGGCTTGAAATCCTACAAAAACTTAGCCAAATAAGAAGAAACATGACCTAACTTCTTTTTTTTGGTTGTTGTCTTTGTTGTGATTTGAATCTTCATGTTCTCTACTTTCATGCATTTAATTGACAACCAGGCTACAAGCTTATGTGCTAGAACACAAAAATTTGGGAATCAGGCGGAATAGTTTTATATTCCTAAAACGCCAAAAAACGAGAAACGGTCATGGCGAAACGGTGACTATTGTTCCTTAGGTGTTGTTGGATGAGCCGACAAAATTTTAGGCGAACGTCTGGTCGCCCAGATGCATGTAGATGATGTGGACTATAACACATAAAACTTTAGAAATCGGACAAAATTTCAGTTTTATAGTCCTAAATGCCAAAAAACGAGGAACGATCATGGCGAAGCGGTGACTATTATTCCTTAGGTCATTTATGATGGACCGGTAAAATTTTACGCTATTCGGGTCCGGTCAATTGGATGCATGCAGATAGCGTGAGCTATAACATATAAAAATTTGGGAATTGGGCGAAATTCCAGTTTTATTGCCCTAAAACGCCAAAAACTAAAGAACGGTCATGACGAAGTAGTGACTATTGTTTTTTAGGTCATTTTTGATGGGTCGGCAAAATTAGGCGATTTAGATCTGGTCGCCTGGATGCATGCAGATGGCATGAGCTATAGCACACGAAAATATGGAAAATCGGGCGGAATTCTAGTTTTATGGCCCTAAAAAGCGAAAAAATAAGGAATAGTTATGGCAAGGCGCTGACAATTGTTCTTTAGGTCATTTTATGGGCCGACCAAATTTTAGGTGATTCCGGTCCGTTTGCCCGAATGCATGCAGATGGCGTAGGTTGTAGCATACGGAAATCTGGGAATCGGGTAGAAATTCTATTTTATGGCTCTAAGGAACAATAGTCATCGCAGTGGCTATTGCTTCTTAGGTCATTATTTATGAGCCAAACAAAATTTTAGGCGATTCAGGTCCGGTCACCCGTATGCATGCAGATAGGGTGGGCTATAACACACAAAAATCGGAGAATCGGGTGAAATTCCAATTTTATGGCCCTAAATTGCCAAGAAAGAGGAACGGTCATGGCAAAATGGTGGCTATTGCTCCTTCACTTTTTATGGGCCGTCCAAATTTTAGGCAATTCGGGTCTAGTCACCTGTATGCATGCAGATGGCGCGAGCTATTAGCATACGAAAATATGAGAATCGAGAGGCATTCTAGTTTTATGGCCCTAAGATGCAAAAGGAGGAACGGTCATGGCGAATCGGTGGCTATTGTACCTTAAGTCATTTTTGATAGGCCGGCAAAATTTTAAGCGATTCGGGTCCGGTCGCATGGATGCCTGCAGATGGCGTGCGCTATAGCACACGAAAATCTGGGAAATCAGGCAGAATTTCAGTTTTATAGCCCTAAATCACAAAAAAGAGTAACGGTCATGGCAAAGTGCTGGCTATTGTTTCTTAGGTCGTTTTTTATGGGCCGCTCAAATTTTAGGTAATTTGGATCCGGTCGTCCATATGCATGCATATGGCGCGAGCTATATCATACAAAAATCTGGAAATCAGGTGAAATTCCAGTTTTATGGCCTTAAAATGCCAAAATAGGAGGAACAGTCATGGCGAAGCGGTGACTATTGTTCCTTAGGTCATTTTTGGTGTCCGACAAAATTTTAGGCGATTCCGGTTTGGCCTCTTGGAGGCATGTAGATGGTGTGGGCTATAGTATACGAAATTCTGGAATCGGGTGGAATTCCATTTTTATGCCCTAAAACGCCAAAAAAGAGGAACAGTAATGGTGAAGCGGTGACTATTGTTCCTTAGGTCGTCTTTTATGGACCAACAAAATTTTAGGCGATTCGGGTCTGATAGCTCAAATACATGCGGACGGCGTGCGTTATAGCACACGAAAATCTGGGAATTTGGGGAATTCTAGTTTTATGACCCTAAAACGCCAAATAATGAGGAACAGTCATGGCGATGCGATAACTATTGTTCCTTAGGTCGTTTTTGATGGGCCGACAAAATTTTAGCGATTCGGGTCCCGTCGCCTGGATGCATGCAGATGGCGCGGCCTGGATGCATGCAGATGGCGATGCGATAACTATTGTTCCTTAGGTCGGTTTTGATGGGCCGACAAAATTTTAGCAATTCGGGTCCCGTCGCCTGGATGCATGCAGATGGCGCGAGCTATAGCATAGAAAATGTGGGAATCGGGGCAGAATTCCAATTTTATGGCCCTAAAACGCCAATAAACGAGGAACGGTCATGGCGAAGTGGTGGCTATTTTTCCTTCGGTCATTTTTTATGGGCCGCCCTTATTTTAGGCAATTTCGGTCAGGTCACCCGGATGCATGCAGATAGTGGGCTGTAACATACAAAAATCTGGAAATAGGGCGGAATTCTAGTTTTATGGCCCTAAAACGCCAAAAAAAGGAGGAACAGTCATGGCGAAGCGGTGATTATTGTACCTTAGGCCGTTTTTGGTGGGCGGACAAAATTTTAGACGATTAGGGTCCAGTCGCAGGATGCATACAGATGGTGTGTGCTATAACACATGAAAATCTGAGAATCTGGTAAAATTTCAATTTTGGCCCTAGAACTCTAAAAAATGAGGAACGGTCATAGCGAAGTGATGACTATTGTTCCTTAGATTTTTTTAATGGACCGACCAATTTTTAGGCGATTCGGGTCCCGTCGTCCGGATGCATGTAGATGGTGTGGGAGATAGCACATGACAACAACAACAACAACAACCCAGTGTAATCCCACAAGTGAGGTCTGAGGAGGGTAATATGTACGCAGACCTTACCTCTACCCCGAGGGGCAGAGAGGAGGGCGATAGCACATGAAAATCTAGAAATTAGGAGGAATTCCAGTTTTACGGCCCTAAAACGCCAAAAAATGAGGAACGGTCATGGAGAAATGGTAACCATTGTTCCTTAGGTCATTTTTTATGAGCCGGAAATAATTTAGGCAATTTGGGTCCGAGCGCTTGGATGTATGCTGGCCATGGGCTATAGCACACGAAAATTCAGGAATAGGGTAGAATTCCAGTTTTATGGTCCTAAAACGCCCAAAATGAGGAACGCTCATGGCAAAGCGGTGGCTATTATTCCTTGGGTCGTTTTTATGGGCATGCAATATTTTAGGCGATTCGGGTCAGGTCGTGCCGGATGCATGCAAATGGTATGGGCTATGAGCACACGAAAATCTGGAAATTGACCGAAATTCTAGTGGTATGGCCCTAAAACGCCAAAAATGAGGAACGGTGATGGCAAAACAATGACTATTGTTCCTTAGGTCATTTTTTATGGGCCGACAAAATTTTAGGCAATTCGGGTCCGGTCGCCTGAATATATTTGACGTGTGTTATAGCAGACGAAAATCTAGGAATCAGACGGAATTTCAATTTTATGGCCATAAAACGCCAAAAAATGAGGAACGATCATGACGAAGTGGTAGTTATTGTTAGGTCATTTTTGATGGGCCGACAATATTTTAGGCGATTTGCGTCCGATCGCCTGGATGCATACAAATGGTGTGGGCTATACACCATAGTTAATTATATTGTTTAGACTTTCTTTTAGCTAAGCCTATGTTGATCTCATTTCCATGATCATGTCCTTCTTGACCTAACCAATGTTAATAATTTCGAGGATATCTGTTAGTAGAGCCGTCAAAATGGACTTGGCCCGTGAGGCCAACCTAACCCAGCCTGCTACTTGGGCAGGGCTGGGTTGGATTTTTAGCCCATTTAAAACTGAAGCTTATAAGCCCAGCCAGGTTTGACTGAGGTTGGGTCTGGGCCGGCCCGTGGGCCAAAAATTAATTAAATTCAAATTTAAATATTTAAAAAAATTAAAAAGTAAAAAATATTAATTATAATCCCCATTTTCCAATCTTAGATTGCTCATTTATCCTTCCATATCAACTAGAATTTATATTTTTGACATGCATGTAGTATGACAAGATTAGTTTTTCTTTTGCTTAACTAATAACGAACTAGGAAAGTTTTAAGTGGCCAATAATAAGTTTGGTTACTTTAATATATTATTAATTATTAAATTGCTCTTCAGTATAGAAAAAGGTCAAGTTTTAATACCCAAAGAAAATTGACAACACTAGCAAATTTCATGAATTTTAAAAATTTATGTACTATAACGATGAAATCAACAAATAATGTTAAACCTAAATTAAAAAACCTTAACATATAAACTTATTGATGCAATTCCTGAACCCAAGAAAAGTGAAAGAAAAGTACTAAAAAAATATTCATATAACGTTAAAAAAAGAAGAGCTAGAGATATAAAGAATTTGCATTTCAATTACGAGATTCCTTATCAAATATCAAGATTCTTGTACACTCTAAATAAACAGAAGTCATTCATATGATTAAGAGATTATGTTACGAAAAAATATCTAAAGATTTGAAACAATATTTTTTTCTAAAAAAATTGAAGGGTCGGTCCGCCCTAGCCCGCGATCCTCTTAGGGCTGGGCTAGCCATTTTAAGGCCCATATAGATGGAGGGCCGGCCCACCCTAACCCACCAAATTTAAAAGCCCACGAGGCTTGGGTTGGGTTGGACTGGACTAACCCATTTTGACAGCTCTACGTGTTTGAAAAAATTAAAGGATGTTCACTAAACTTCTGATATCATTGAAATCTCTTAGATATGTTTACTTTTTTTTCTTTTACAAGGAGCATTCCTAAGACTGTGTGATGATTCTGAAGTTTGCTCATATCAAATTGTCAAAAAGCTCAT